CACTTCGGAAGCTAACAGGATCCACTAGTGTGGTCGTCAGCGTATCCCATGGGGCAGCATTGTGCAATTCTTCCACATGAGGTCTTGTGACAAGCGAATCCACGTATCCGGACGTCGGGATGACATCCTCTTCACGAGGGAATATCCACTCAGCACGGAACGGCAGCTCAGGGAATAGGACGGTGATCTTCATCGTGACGATGGCGACCCGGTTCAACTTCTTGGCAAACCAAGGCTCAATGGCTCTTGTAGCGAAGGCCACAGGGGTGCGCCGACCAGGAATGAAGACAGCATCCGGACCAGACGGGGCCACGGGGAGCATACCTGGCAACGAAGAATTAGGAGGGGTGGAAATCAAGACAGATCCAGGGGATCCACCACCATGAGGTGATCCCCCTCCACCATCGCTACCCGACCCACCATCAATGTCAACCTGGATCGCGGATCCCGCAGTGCCGGTCCCGGATCCGGCCGTATCTGTGACTTGCGGGGGCGGTGTCGAGAGAGATCTCCGCCGCGCTTCGGATCTGGATTGGGACAAGACCGGCCGCGTGTCTTCTTCCAAGGCATCATCAGCGACTCGAGCCTCCTCCGAATCCTCCGGACTTTCGTCGTCATCGTCGTCGTCAGGACTGAAGGATATTGGCCGGTGAACAGTGTACGCTTCGAGGACGATCGGATAGGAGGCCCCGAGTCGTCGGACCAATCCGATCCCTCTTCCTCGTCGTCCTCCGAGCTGCCAAGTCCACATCCAGTGGGGATGACACGTTTGGCTTTCCCTTTCCCGGATCCAGTTCCGACAGGCGGAGAGCCGGTAGAAGCTGGTCGGGGAACGGTAGGCACCTTCACCGAAGGACCAGCAGTGGATCCCGACGGTGACGAGCCGGACTTAGCCGTGGATGTGACTAACCCCGTCGTAGAAGGGGCAATCGCCTTGGATCCAGCCGAAGCCACTGCCTGGGACGACGGCGCGATAGTAGATCCGGCCTTGGACGCCGATCTCGACTTTGAGACTGCGACGGATCCAGTCTTTGGTCCAGATTCAGATTTTGACGTAACAGCAGTGGATCCAGCCTTAGATCCCACACCCGTTTGGACGTAGCTACAGATCGGGACTGGCACGCTGATGCCGGTTTGGATGTGGCG